AAATGATTGTTAGATCTATTTGACCATTACTAACCTCTCCTGACCTCCAGTGTCACATGTCCACCTCTCCATTGGACATTTAGAACTGGATGAATCACAGATATCTTAAACTCAGTATGTCCAAAACAAAACTCATTTTATTTCTCCGCAAACCCTCTCATTTTTCTAACTTCTTTCTTATTTTCAAGGGTTTCACCATCTTCCCAGTCATTCAGACTCACAACCTAGATGTCGTCCTTGATTCTTCATTCTCTCCCCCCACCCCACTCCGTATATTCAGTTAGTTGTGGTTCTCCTTGAAAGTGGTAAGATGTAGTTCTAAATTTTTTATTATCTGTCAAAGATAAGTTTGTAAAGTAACTTGTTTTCAAAATCTCTACCTTGATCGAAATAGAAAGTGACAAGAAAGCCAAATACTGAAAAATATTTCTTCCACAATTCTTTTAATAACTGTGGAAGCTTTATGATTTCTGATTGGGTATGTATTTGCGTATCTGGCAAAAAGGTCACTACTAAAATATGACTTAATGTTCTGTCTCGTAGTATAAAAAATTCAATGCAGAGAAATTCCAGATAGTACTTATACTCCTTATGTGTATTGCACAAGTTGATAGTACTTTTCTTCACAAACAGTAAGCATAAAATTTCACAATTCTTAATGACGTTTTGGGTTAATAAAATTTGATATATCTGAAGTCATTATGTAGAGTTTTCCGGGGCATATTGTGTGATTTGCTTTGGGTAGCACTGACTGCTTCTTGATATCATGCATGAAAACAATAATCTGACACACTACTCTTATCTTTTGTCATAGTCTCAGTAGTAGAATACTTTCTGAGAACTGGAATTTAAGGCGTTTAGAATCACTGTCTGTCTTCTCGTCTTGCATTACTTCTTGTAGTCCTTTATCATCCATTTACTATTTCCACCAAGCATCTACAAACTGAAGAAGGCAGAAAGGGTTGGTTTAATGACACCTAGGATAGCTAGATGGCTCAGTGGATACAGTGTTGGGCCTGGAGTCAGGAAGACCCGAGTTCAAATTTGGCTTCAGACACTTACTGGTAGTTTGACCTTGGGAAATCTTTTAACCTCTGTCTGCCTGAATTTCTTCATCTGTAAAATGGGGACAATAATAGCACCTACCTCACAGGGTTGTTGTGAAGATAAAATGAAATGTTTATAAAGTGTTAGCATAGTGCCTGGCATATAGTGGGCACTATATAAATGTTTATTCCCTTCCCTTCTTTCCCAAATGAAAGAGTTTACACATACATGGATGGTATGCTGTTTGGTGGAAATCCTAAACTTTCAGCTACACTTCATTTTGTTTTCGACTCTAGTCAGCGGGTATCACAGTAGTTTTCATTTCTTATTTAGGTATTATAGTTTTGGTGTCACTGCCTTTGAGATAGAACATCAGCATCCACATTAGTTTGTCTTGTCCAGTAGCATAAATACATAAAGTAGCGAATTCATAATTCGCTAATGCTACCTCTAGCAAACAGCATCTAATTTGGTACCAGGCAAATACGTCTACAGAGTATTGTCAGTCCACACTTGAAATTTAGTTCCATATAGGTAATATTTGAATTTCTTGGAGAAAGCCCACTTCAAAGCTGAGAACTCTGGTTTCTGTATGGAATAGCAAGTCTCACTGTCAATCATTTTTTGACAAAAGCAATAATTTCTGATGACCATCGTCCTTTTGATATAAGACTGCTTACTAAGTTTTCTAAGCTAGGATCCATGTGCAGAAAAATAGGACTATCAGGATTTGGCTAATTGTGGTGCATGTACAAAGCATTTGATCAAATTGTTGAAAGCCTGTTCACATTTGTCTGTCCAAAAATCTCCAAATGGCTTCAAAGTGTTCTTAGTATATTGACCTTTCATGCTCTTGTGTTTTTGGTTTTCTTCAATTTTACATCTGTAAGCAAGATCATTTTAGATTTTAACAATAGAAGCATAATTCTTTACAGATTTATGGTAGTAACTTTTCAGTTTTTGAAAAGTTATTCTGTCTCATTGATTTTGGATGTCACCATGTGAGGAGTGGTTCTGTTTTCTCTGGATCTGTCCAACTCTTTGCCGTAAGATAATATATAACAGAGGCTCTGGAAAACTGGCATATGTCAATTAACAGTTTCAGACCAGCCTTCTCTGCTTGAATCTGATGTCGTATTTCCTACCTATTAAAATACGGTGTTTGCTCACTAGGGCAGTTTCTGAACTCTTTTAGTCTTCTTGCAGTAATTAAACTTTTTCTGGGAATGATGATGATAAAGGTTACCAGTTTTTTTGCTTTTGTCCTTTTTCCTCATTTTTCAACATCGACAGCTCATTTGCGTAGATGAGTTTGAAGTTGTTGCAACTCTCTTACCTTTCCTTCTAATTTAATATTGATTTTGACTGTTGCTCTAAATAGGCCATGGTCTGATTTTGACAGCTGATTTTCATTTCACTATTGCATCAGTAACCAGTTATTTACTGTCTATTAAAATAGTTTTGCTTTTTTGTCAGTGCTTTGCAAATGTGGTATCCTCCAAATATATTCTTATCTAAAATATTTATGATATGTATATGTGATATTTCTCTGTAGCCCACAAATTTTTGGTCTTTTTCATTTCTTTTGTTAAAGAAAGTTAATGAACATATTAGAGTTTATACATCCTAATTAATAGTGTTGTGCTCAAAGTAGGCTCTTTGTGGACCTACATGTACAAAAATATTTATAGCAGTTCTTTTTGTGGTGTCAAAGAATTGGAAATTGAGGGGATGCCTTTCCATTGGGGAATGGCTGAACAAGTTGTGGTGTATAAATGTAATGGAATATTTTGTACTATAAGAAATGATAAGCAGGATACTTTCGGAAAAAACCTTGAAAGATTTACATGAACTGAAGCAAACTGAAGTGAGCAGAACTAGGAGAACATTGTACACAGTAACATCAAGATTGTGTAATGATGCATGACTTAACTCTTCTTGGTAATACAGTGATCCAAGACAATTCCAAGGGACTCATGATGGAAAATGCTATCCACATCCAGAGAAATAACTGATGGAGTTTAAATGCAGATTGAAGCATCCTATTTTCGATTTCTTTATTTTTTTTCATGTTTTTTTTTTCTTTTGGTCTGTTTCATCTTGTACAACGTGACTAATATGGAAATATGATTTACATGATTGCACATATATAGACTATATGAAATTGCTTACTGTTTTAGGGAGGGGAGAGGTAAGGGAGCGAGGGAGAAAATTTGGAACTCAAAATTTTAAAAAATGAATGCTAAAATTGTCTTTACATGTAATTGGAAAAAAACTAAATCTCTTTATGAGGCTATACTGTCATTGCACAAAATGTTTTAGAATTTATTTGGAATTGTCTTCAGAGCCTGTAGTAAGTTGTTTTGAATATCTTTGATGATAGGAGATAGTAATTATTTAAGAGTATTTTGAACTGGGAAAATTTTTTTATACCTTTTTCTGATAAAGGACTTATTTCTCAAATGTATGGGGAGCTGAGCCAGATTTATAAAAATAAGAGCTGTTCCCCAGTTGGTAAATGGTCAAAGGTTATGGACAGGCAGTTTTCTGAAGAAGAAATCAAATCTGTCACAATAGTTACATGAAAAAAGCTCAAAATCACTGTTGATTAAAGAAATGCAAATTAAAACAACTCCAAGACACCAGCTTACATCTATCAGAAATTACTGACATGACAGAAAAGGAAAATGACAAATGCTGAAGGGAATGTGGAAAAGTGGGACATCAGTGGACTGTTGGTGGACTTGTGAACTGGTCCAACTGTTCTGGAGAACATTTTGGAACTATGCCCAAAGGGCTATAAACCTGTGCATACTCTTTAAGCCAGCAATACCACTACTTATATCCCAAGCAGATCAAAGAAAAGGGGAAAGGACCTATTTCCATGAAAATATTTATAGTAGCTCTTTTTGTAGTGGCAAAGAATTGGAAATTGAGGGGATGCCTGTCAATTGGAGAATGTCTGCACAAATTGTGATATATGATTGTGGTGGAATAGTATTATGCTGATGATGAGCAGGATGGTTTCAGAAGAACTTAGGAAGTCTTATATTAACTGATGCAAATGGAAGTGAACAGAACCAGGAAAACATTGTACATAGTAATAACAATATTGTAGTGATAATCAAAAGTGAAATTCTTAGCTACTCTGATAGCATTTTTCATCACAGTTCCTTTGGAACTGTTTTGGATCACTGTCTCTATCTAACTCCTTCAAAAGAATGATGAACAACTTTTTTTACGTTTTGTTTTTCTTTTTTTGTATGTGTCTATATGTTTTGCATGACTTCATATGTATAATCGCTGTCATCTTACTTGCCTTCTCAAGAATTAGGGAAGGGTTGGGAAGGAGAGAATTTGGAACTCAAAATTTTAAAAAGTGAATGTTAAATTTTTTAAAAATGTAATTGGAAAATATTTAATGAAATATATTTATATGTATATATCTGCATCTATCTGTCTATCTAGAGTGTGTGTTTTCATTCTGGAAATGGCCAAAAGTCATCTGGAGCCAAATTTGACAAAGAAAGTAGGTGACTAAGATAAACTCTGCCATGTTTGGTACAAGGCCAGGTGAAACTTTAAAAGTTAGAAGGCTGCTTTTTTGTGTGTGGGTTATGAACTGATTCTGGATGGACTTAATTATAAAAGACTGTTGTAGGCAATGCAATATAATATTCCATATATCATTGTACAATCATTTATATGTATGAGTCCACCATATCTGGTATCCCCTTATCTATTGCTTGGATGACCCTATAATAGAACCTTAATTTTCTGTAGAGGTTCTGGTTCCACCTTGAACCAAAAAAACAGTGTTGAGGTTTTATTTGTTATCAGTTTAGAAGAGACTAGTTACAACGAAATATCACATGCTATTAATAGATATACTTGTTTTTCCCTAGCAGAAATGACACTTGAAATTTTATCATTATATTGCTTTTTTTAATCAGATGAAGATGAGGATGGTGATCGAATTACTGTAAGAAGTGATGAAGAAATGAAGGCCATGCTGTCATATGTAGGTATATTTTGCATAAGAAAAATTTTTTTAAATGTTAATATAATTGAGATCATTGTTCTTCTGGCCCACTAAGATATTAAATCTAGATAAAGTATGGCATTTATCACATTTCCCTATGTAATATGTAAGGTTTAAAATTTTTACATGAGAGTTAAGGGCATGCATAACACTTTTCAAAAGAGTTGTACATTTACTGATCATATCATGAACATTAAGAATAATGCATCTTAATGACTTTTGCATTAGGTATAGTGCAGACTAAATGGACTATCAATTTCCTGTGTTTTTTATGCAGTACTTAAAGTAACGGCTCATTAAAAATGAACCCCTGGGCTCTAAAAAATTTTTCAAAATCTACTTTCAACTGGGGATCTCTTTTACCCTTCCAGCAGACTACAGTCATATTGTAGCTGCAGACTTAATATAGATACATGATTTAAAGATGTACTGTCTGTTATTTTTATGCCTCACATGCCAGAGAGAATCTAAGGTTACTTATTGAATAAATGTGACTGATTATATCTAGAAATGACTTATACTTTTTGTTTTGAATGTCACTAAAAATTTGCGTTACCATTTGTATTTGATTGAAATGGATAAATAAGATGGATGGATACATTATTAAAGATCTAGGACTTAAAAACTTGAAAAATTCAGATTTTTTTGGAGCAGTGCCTGAGCCCTGATTTGAGATAACCATCAAAGTTTGCATAATGTGGTCTAGTAGAAAGTGTACAGAAATGAGAATTGTAAGACTTGAGTTGTACTTATGGCTCAGTTTTATCTTAGGCAATCCCTTAACCTTTGTGTCTGTTTCCTCATTTGTCAGTTGAGAATAATGATTTTATATTACCTACCTCATGGGGTTATTTTAAGGATAAGATGAATCATAGAATTTTAGAGCTTAAGGGACCTTAGAAATCATCTTGTCAAACCCCTCATTTTACAGTTAAGGAAACAAATGGCCAAATAATTACAGAGTTTGAACATTTAGTAGAGGAGATGAAACTACAACTCAAGTGTCCCGAGTCCTAGTCTTTGTTCTTTTTATGACACTAGTACATATGGATGCGCTGTGAAAAATTAAAAGCCTTGTACCAGTGTGAGGAGTGGTAATCCTGGTGACAACCAGGTGGTATTATTTTGGTGGAAGGTTAACCAAAACCACCAGATTGCTTTGCTGTAATACAAGTTTTCAGAGGAAAGGTTCCTCTGAAATGTTTGTTTTAGAGCAGGGAAAATGAGAACAAGACATGACATGATTAACAGAGCATTGGAAAAGTCAATTTTCCATTGACTTCCCATTAGCTTCAGTGGGAGTCTTTGTGTATTGAGAATTCAAGACTGAGTTCTTCAGTTTCTTGAAAGGCAGAGAGCAGGACTGACTGCTGAAGGTTCTAGCTCTGATTTTAATACACTGAGTTAACAGTTCCAAAAGTTTAACAGCTTCTAAAAGAATGAAGTACAAAGCAGCACAAAAGAGAAAGTTGTGATTTTCTCATAATCCATTGTTTATGTCACTGTTTATTATCTCTGGTAGAGCCACAGAGACATGTTTTCATAATGCAAAACTGGAAAGATTTGCTTACTTACATAATGGATATTGATTTATATGCTCATACTGATAATTTGTCAACATTAGTATTTACCTATAAACTATCTGTGTTTATCTAATGACCAGGCTGAGACGTCCCTATCATGTCTGTTTTGTTATCCCCATTAATGTTTCATTCTTTAGCTTCTTGACTTCAGGTTATAATTGTTTCCTTGTTCTAGAATAACATTAGACCCATGCAGTTATTTGTATTCCTGATGGTATCTGAACTCTAATGGAACTGGTTCTTACCTTTCCTAAAGAGAATACTCCATTTTAGGACAAGGAAAGAGAAATTTTTTTCCTTTTGTGATTCTTAATGAAAATGGAAAAGCGTAGCTTGACTCTTTTCCCTCTACTCATGTACCCTTCCTTTAATTTGAAGAAATATTTGAATATTTGAACAAAAGTAAGAAAACAAAAAATAATTTCCTTTCCTAGAGAATATAATCAACTTTTCATTTTGTTTAACCCTACGTTTGTTCAGGTGGTTGGATTTCCATTGAAAGATTCTAGCAGTAGTCATTTTGAACTCTAAACAGTGATGGATTAGGGAAAATAGTGGCTTGGCTATACAATAGCTGTACAATAAGTGGCACTGAGATGTGTTTTCTTAATGCTACGTATGTACACTGGTACGCTTTCATGACAAGAATCGGAATCATAAGATAAAGAAGTTCCTCACACTTTTTACAATTCTTTTCAGATTTGGTTTTTCATACAGGATATTTTCTTAATAAATTTATAGCCTTTCTATTTTTAAAAAACCCTCATAAAACTCCCTAGTTATTTTTAAATCCTTTGACCTTCATAGCCACCCTTAAGGAAGATCAATGAAAGAATCATAATAATAATCACTTATGTTTAAATCGTGCAGTAAGGATTACAAAAATTCTTTCCAAACAGAAAACCTGGAAAGTAGGTGGTACAAGTGTTATCATCCCCAGTCTACCATATTGGAAGTTAAAGAAATTGCCAGGCCTGGAGCCAGTCAAGAATTCCAGTCTTCTACTTCTAGGACTAGTGATCTTTCTACTCCATCCCATTACAAATAGTAGATTCCTTTCTTTGGTCAAGCTGTAGTTGAAGCCAGTAGTGAAGTGATATAGTGTATGGTGTATAGGACATGAACATAAAAGGTCTCCCATTCAGGACCCATTTCTCCTATTTATTGTGTGAGGCTATGGGCTATCAACCTCCTCGAGCTTCCATTTCCCCATCTATAAAATGAGGACAGTAATACTGGTATGACACAAATCACAAGTTTGTTGTGAGGAAGGACTTTATAAATTGAAGGTTGCTACATAGATGTGAGTCACTATTACTGACTCAAAAGATTAGGAATTGGTTTAGCCAGGACTTCACAGTGAAGAGGAAAATGTTTTACTTTTCTGGAGACTTTATAGTGAATGAGTTGAAACTTGGAACAGTATCCTACACTTGCTTAAATAAAACCATTTTCTGGCTGCAGGCCAGCGCAAACATACGTTTTTATCAGTAATGTAAACAGATTTTTGTATTGGAACTGAAAATGCTGCCTTTTTAATTGAAAACTTATCAATTATTTAAATTGCTAACAGCCTTCGGCTGTTAATTTTATGCATGCTATAATAATAGTGTACAGTGCTATTTGATCCATGTGACATACAGAATATTATATCGTCTAGGGTTTTGTCGTGAAAATGGGTTGTTGTATAATGTTAAATAATAACTAACATATTAAACCAAAGTCTGTTATCACAGATTAGTATCGTTTTATGTAAGTTATTTAGAATTTGTTTTGTTTTCTTCATTAGATATATTTTTAAGAGATAATGAGAAGAAAACAAAGCTATAATAAATTGTCTTTTAAGAAAATGTAAAGTAATTTTGTCTCCAAGGAGATATTTAATGTCTTGAAAGAATTCAGCAGCCAAGTGTTATTACAGCACTATTGTGATAGCTATGTGCGTTTTGTTATGAGTTTGTGTTAATCAACAATCTGTTTTTATAGCATAGTTTCTTGTAAGTTACTGTTGTTAGAATATTCCACTACTGGGATCATGGCTTTTCCTCTGACACTATTGCATCTTTTTAATTTCTCCATAAAGTATTTTTTAATTAGAATTTGAAATGCTTTATTAGAAAAAAAATTATATAGAACCTAAATATTCTGAAAACTAAATACCTGATCATTGCTAATTATTTAAGTAGCACAGTTAATTATTTCTTTAATGTAGTTTTTAATTTGTTTTTTTTTTCCCTTCTGGAAATCCTTAACAGCTTTTCTGCTTTCATCTTTTTTGTTTTTAACATTTGGACAACAGTGACCTTATTTTCATGGGGCCTACATGATTGTACCTTTGGCTCCTTTATTGGTTTATTATAAACATTGTCCATTATTTTGGTATAGGATTACAGAAGAGAAGATATTTTAGTGTTAACCTCTGCTTTTAGTTAACCTTCCATTATGAGTTGAGACACCTAACTATATATCTTTGTGTTTTGCGTATTGTTTCACATTCTGTTATCTTCAGTGTCATGTCAGATGAAGGATTTATTGTATTTGGTTTTGTTTTTGGGAAGTGTGTGGGAGTGGAGCAACAGAATTAGCAAAAGGAATCCAAGTATTGTCCACATTCTGCTTCCTGTTATGACCAGTGTAGTGTTTGAGAGGAAGGTGAAACTAGTTTCTTTAGTGTTCTTTGACCGGTGGTTTCCTTGGCATTTAAATCTGATTAGTTTTAATATGGTATTAACGTGCTAGGATATGTATGTATACATGAATATTCATATCTTTACATGCATATATGTGTAAAGTATTGTATACATATGAAGTATGTATGTGAAACTGATTTTTTTGGTTGTTTTTCAGTCATTTTTCAGTCCTCTCTTACTCTGTCACTACATTTGGAGTTTTCTTGGCGAAGATAATGGAGTGTTTTGTCATTTCTTTCTCCAGCTTACTTTACAGATGAGGAAACTGGGGCAAACAGGCTTAAGTGACTTGCCAGGGTCATACAGCTAGTAAGTGTCAGAGGTTAGAGTTGAACTAAGGAACATGAGTCTTTCCTAACTCCAGGCCTGTCTGCTCTATCCCCTGTGCCATATAGTTGCCCTGGATTAAAAATAGAAATATAGAATAAAAATGTTGGAGCTTAGAAAAGAACTTATTAAGATATTTCCTTTAATCTGTTTAAAAACCTTCTGTCAGCTTTTCCATTTCTATCATATTCTCTTGGTATGGGGAAAAGTTGAAAAAACAGTTCACAGCTGAGTTCCCCCTTGCCATTCTTTGAGCCTTTACAGTATTACCTGGTGATTCTCTGAGACTAAGTACCTGCAGTAAACTTAGTCTTCAGTGATTGGTTAGTTTTATTATTATTAATAATGATGATGATAACAATAAAGATGTTGCTTTTGT